ATAGTGTAGGTTAGATGGGCTTCAGATTGGTTTCACAGGTCGGCGCAACATCGAGGGCCGAAGGGCCTGTACTGAGCTGTAATGTTCTATGTTCTATGTTCTCTGTTAATGTTTCAGATCTCGTGACCCATCCTCAGAACTGATGTCAGCTCGGAAAATGTTTATTTTTCAGAAGATAGGTTAGAGGGTGACGGTAAGAAATAAATAATGGAAGGAGATAGTGCCCAAGGAAGAGAAGAACAGTTGGACAGACAAAGGAGTGGATAATGATCAGAATAGAAGGGTGAATAGCTGTTAATGGGGACTGTTAGCAGTTAATAATCGGTTGTGTGTAACAGCAGACCATGTGATAACAAGAGATAGTAGGAACTGCAGATGCTGGAGAATCCGAGACAACAAGGTGCAAGGCTGGATGAACACAGCAGGCCAAGCAGCATCATAGGAGCAGAGAGGCTGACGTTTCGGGCCTAGACCCTTCATCAGAAAAGGGGGAGGGGAAGGGGGTTTTGAAATAAATAGGGAGAGAGTGGGAGGCGGATAGAAGAGGGATAGAGGAGAGGATAGGTGGAGAGGAAACAAACAGGTCGAAGGGGCGGGGATGGAGCCAGTAAAGGTGAGTGTAGGTAGGGAGTTAGGAAGGGGATAGGTCAGTCCAGGGAGGACGGACAGGTCAAGGGGGCGGGATGAGGTTGGTCGGTAGGAGATGGAGGTGCGGCTTGGGGTGGGAGGAGGGGATAGGTGGGAGGAAGAACAGGTTAGGGAGGCAGGGACGAACTGGACTGGTTTTGGGATGCGGGAGGGGGAGGGGAGATTTTGAAACTTGTGAAATCCACATTGATACCATTGGGCTGCAGGGTTCCCAAGCAGAAAGTTTCATGAGCAAGTAATAAGTATAATCGCTTAAAGCTCCAGGTACAGCAATAATACACGTACAGAGTTAGCCTAATTGGAGAGAAGGAGGAAATTGGAAAATTACAATTCACATGAAACTTTAAAAGGATTGTACTTGAAAAGAATAAAAGACAAAATTGTTCAGCACCATTGGAAAGGCTACAAAAAAAAATACAAATTTATAGACAATCTTTCTTAACCTTGAAGGGATGAGGGAAAAGAGTTGATATCAAAAACTCAAGTGAAGGAATTCCATTACAAAAATCATTGCAGTACTATCAGAGTTATGAAGAAATGTCGTAGCAGCAGGATTTGTTTAATTCTTCCATGGGATATGAACCTCAATGGCACGTCCAGCATTTATTCCTTATCTCTAAGTGCCCTAGACAAGATGGTGCTGAGCAGCATTTATACGATCATACAGTCACGCAGTACTGAAGAGGCCCTCTGGCCCATCGAGCCCGTACCAGTAAAAATACACTACTCCCTATGCTGTCAAACCTTCCCACATTAAGCCCATAGCCTTGAATGTTATGCCACTTCAAGTGTTCATTCAAGTGACTTTTAAAGTTCGCTGTCCCAAGCAGTGCATTCCAGACGCCCACTACCCTCTGCATGAAATAAATATTCCTTAAAACACCTCTAAACTTCCTCACTTTAATTTTATTATTGATGTTTTGGCTAAAGGGAACAGCTGCTTTCAATTCACCCTCTCCATGCCCTTCATAATCTTATACACCTCTGTCAAGTTCCTCCCTCAACTTTCTCTGCTCCAAAGATAGATCCTTGACTGAATCCTCAACTTCCTGACCCACAGACTGCAATCAGAATAGGCTACAGCACCTCCTCTACAGCAATCCTCAGCACTGGCGCTCCACAATGCTGCGTACTCAGGCCCTTACTATATTCCCTGTACACTCATAACTGTGTGCTCAAATTTCGTCCTAACCCCATGTACAAGTTTGCTGACAACACCACTGTTGTAGGCCGGATCTCAAACAATGATGAGACAGAATACAGGAAAGAGATTCAGCACTAGGTGACATGGTGCAAAGATAACAATCTCTCCCTCAATGCCAGCAAAACAAAAGAGCTGGTCATTGACTTCAGGAAGCAAGATGGATGGCACACCCGTGTCTACATCAATGGTGTTGAGGTGGAGATGGACAACATCGTCAAGTTCCTAGGAGTAACGATCACCAACAATCCATCCTGGTCCAGCCACATTGATGCAGTGGTCAAGAAAGCACAACAATGCCTCCACTTTCTCAGGAGGCTAAGGAAATTCAGCATTTCCGTAAAGACTCTTACCAATTTTTATAGATGCACCACAGAAAGCATTCTATTCGGATTCATCACACCTTGGTATGGCAACTGCTCTGCCCAGGACCGCAAGAAACCACAGAGAGTTGTGAAAACAGCCCAGTCCATCACACAAGCCAAACTTCTATCCATTGATTCCATCTATACTTCCCGCTGCCTCAAAAAGGCAGCCAACATAATCAAAGACCCCTGCCACCTCGGTTATAATCTTTCCCAACCTCTTCCATCAGGCAGAAGATATAAAAGCTTAATCACACTGACCAACAGATTCAAGAACAGGTTCTTCCCTGCTGTAATTACAGTTATGAATGGATGTCTCAAATTTCAAACTGAATGTTGACCTCGCTCTTTGTGCACCTTCTCTGCAGCTGTAACATTGTATTCCTTGCTCCGTTCTATTACCCTTATGCACTTTATATGATGTGATCTGCCTGTACTGCACACAAAACAAAACTTTTCACTATACCTTGGTACATGTTACAATAATAAATCAAATCAAATAACAATATGAGTTTAATCAGTCTCTCTTCATACCAGGCAACACTCTGGTGGATCTCCACTGCAACCCTCCAGTCCAATCACATCTTCGTATAGTGTGGTGACAGTACTACAGCTGTGGCCTAACTAATGTTCTATAAAGCTCCAGTATGACCTCCCTGATCTTACAATCAATGCATTACTAATAAAGGTAAGCATCCTGTGTTCCTTTTTAACTACATCATTAACCTGTCCTGCTGCCTTCAGGGATCTGTGGACAAGCACCAAAGGATTCCTCTGTTCCTCTGAGCTTCCTAATATCCTGCCATGCATTGAATACTCCCTTGTCTTGTTCCTTCTTCCTAAGTCCATCACCTCACACATTTATCAGGGTTAAATTCCATCTGCCCCTGATCTGCCCATCTAACCAACCCGTGCATATCTTCCTGTAACCTAACACTTTCTTCCTCACTATAAACCACCTTGCCAATCTTCATATGATCCATAAATTTACTTATCATCCCCCTACATTTTCTTTTATATCATGTATATATGTCATGCACAATAAGCACTGATCCCTGTGGTATGTCACTGGATATCATTCTCCATCCAGTCACAAAAGCAATCTCCTATAACCAAACTCTGTATCCTAGCTCTAAGCCAATTTTGGATCCACCTTGCCAAGTTACCTCAGAACCCATGTGCTTTTACCATTTTTATTAATCTCTCATGTGGGGTCTTGTCAAAATCCTTGCAGAAAATCCATATCTGCTGCATCAACTGTATCACTCTCATCTATATACCTCATCACCATCTCAAAATGTAGTTAAATTTGTTAGGCATGACTCCTTCTTGCAAAGCCACACAGACAATCCTTGATAAAACTTTGCCTCTCCAAGTGGAGATTAATTCTCTCCTTCAGAATTTTGTCCAATTGTTTCCCTACCACTGACATGAGATTCACTGGTCTGTAATTCCTTGGTTTACCACTACCACCCTTCTTGAAAAGTAGAACCACATTAGCTACCTTCCAGTCCTCTGGTACCTCTTCTGTGGCCAGACAGGAATTAAAAACTTGGGTCAGAATCTCTGTAATTTTCATCCCTCTCCTCTCACAACAACTCATCTGGACATGAAGATTCGTCTATTTTTAAGGCCACCAAAACCTCCAATACCTCCTCACTTCCAATGTCAATCTGCTCAAGAACTTCACAGGCCCTCTTCCTGAATGCTGTACCTTATCCTCCTCCCAAGTGAAGACAGGGGTGAAGTTTTTTTTTCCATCATTCATTCATGCAATGAGGGCGTTGCTGGCTGGGCCAGCATTTATTGCTCATCCCTAATAGCCCAGAGGGCAGTTATGAGTCAACTACATTGGTATGGGTCTGGAGTCACATGTAGGCCAGACCAGGTAAGGATGGCAGCTTCCTTCCCTAAAGGGCATTAGTGAAACAGATGGGTTTTTTTTCGGCAATCAGCAATGGATTCATGGTCATCATTAGATTCTTAATTCCAGACATTTATTCCACCATCTGCCGTGGCGTGATTCAAACCCACATCCCCAGGACATTACCTGGGTCTCTTGCTTAACATTCCAGCAATAATACCACTAGGCCATTGCCTCTCCTGAGTACTTATTTAACACCCTGCCAATGTTCTTCAATTCCTCGCACAGGATGGCCCCCTGTGTCCCTAAAGGGCCCAACGTTTTCCCTGGTTTTCTTCTTCCCCTTAATATAATCATAGAATATCTTGGGCTTTTCCCTAAGTTAACTATTGGTGCTTTTTCATGCCTCCTCATTGCTCTCCTAATTGTTTTCTTAAGTTCCCCTTGCACTTTCTATACTCCCCTTGGGTCTTTATTGATTTACTCTCTTTGCACTTGCTAAAAGCCTGCCCATCTTGCCCAGAATATTTCTATATATTCAAGTTTCTCTGGCTTGATGCTCCTACTTTTCACCCTAAAGGGAGCATGTTGGAACTGTAGTCTCCCCATTTCCTTTCGAAAACCCCTGCTGTTCTGCTGTGGACTTTCCCACAAGTCGCTGTTTCCAGTCTACAGTGTATTAAATTAAGGCAGGATCTGGCCAATCTAATCTCCCCAGTCCAAAACTATATTTTGCATACCATCTTTGAAATAATTCTTCAGAGATGGCATTCAATCACCAATCACCCTTTATTTAAAAATGCATAGCCTTTGACAATAGCATTGATTCTCAGCATTTTATGTCAACCAAGTCTTCCTGATTGGACCAGATTAACAGCCCCCTATCAGGGAGCTCATATTTTATGAGGTCCAGCTGGCTTACCTCATTACTATCACTATATCCCTCAACCTCTGAGTCCATGAACACAGGCTGATCTGATTCCTTTGAGAGCCTCTTGGGGCATTTTAACACTGGGTCAGGTTCCTCCAACTCGGAATCCGACACAAGAGGTGCGTAATGAACAAGAGCTCGTCTCTTGTGCCTGGAGTGCTTTGGTAGGCTTTCTTCTTCCTGAAGCCGAAGCATCGAGGCAGCTACTTCCGTCATGTCTATCACTGATTCAGAAGACTTGGCAACGTTTGATGGAGAGGGTAAATCAATGAACCCCTTAAGTATTTCTGAAAGCTCCAAGAGGCAGGGCAAATTTTGCTCCCACAGAATCTGTGATTTTGCAGCCTTCAAATGATCCACATGCTTATTCAGGACAGTTGTACCTACCCGAATTTTATAAGTCACTGGTCCTGATTGTACATCAATCATGCCTCTTACCCATGTGGGGCCATTTCCATGATTCTTGCACCAAACTTTGTCCCTTATAACAAACTGTCTTGGGTTCAGCAGTAGAGCTCCTGATGTCCTTTCACCACCACTCCCCCAGGTCAGGGAAGATCAGACTTAGCCTGATGTTGAGTCTTCTACCCATTAGCAATTCTGCTGGTGCTATCCCTGTAGTTGAATGTGGGATGGTCCTATAATTAAACAAGAAATGTAACAACATGGTGTCTAGTGAGGCTGTAGCTGTTTCTTCAGTCCAGCCTTCAATATTTTGACTGCTCTTACTGCCAGGTCAATAGATGATGGGTGGTGTTGAATTGCCAAATATATTGAATCCCATTTGACTTTAAGAAGTAACTAAAGTCCCCGATGGTAAACGATGGCCTATTATCTCTAACCAATACCTTGGGGGCTCCATGTGTCACAAAAGATGTGCACAATTTTCTGTCATCACTCCAGTGTCTGATGAATGGACTGTATGCAGGTCCATCCACTTTGAGTGGGCATTTATCATGGCCAAAAACATTGAACACATGAAAGACCTGCAGAATTGACAGGCAAGGTTTACCCAGCTGTTCCTCCGATGTGGGGGAGCTATTGGTGGTAATTCTTGCCCTCGTTGACACTTTGGACATTATCCCACCAACATGACTATGCCTGTGTCTAAGCCTGGTCACCAGACAAAACTCCTTGCCAAGATTTTCAGTTTGGAGATCTTTGGATGGCCCTGGTGGTTTTCAGCCAGTATTTGATGGCAACCTTTGCTCGTGACTTTCACTCTCGCTGCCCATAACAACATGCCACCCTCTACCGTAAACTAGTCTCTCCGGGTCCAAAAAAGTTTTAATTCTAGCTGTGACAGACCTTTGCTTTCCCCCATTAATACTAATTGTTTCAGTTTGGAATCCGTCTGTGTCCACAGTCCGCTATTATTAGCTGTGACTGGTATCGTGTCCAGAAAATTCTATGTCATGACCTACTCTTCCATTGGTTGTACCATGGATGGTATATCTGCTAATGCAAGGCAGCTCAATGCATCTGCATTTGCTACTTGACATTCCATACAGTGTTCTAATTTGTAATTTTAAGCACTTAATATCAGAGCTCACTGCTGAATGACGGCCAAAGCTATGGGCGGCACGGCCTTGTCCTTTTTAAGCAGACTGAGTAGGAGCTTGTGGTCCATGATTATCACAAATTTTCGCCCATTAAGATACTGGTGGAACTTTCTGACTTCAAATATGACAGCCAATCCTCCTTTTTCTATTTGAGCACATCTACACTCTGCATTAACTAAAGTCCTAGATGCATAAGCTATTAGGTGTCCCTTTCCAGTGGGCCACCTATGAGCTAATACCATCGCGATGCCTTAAGCAGAGGCATTCCACACCAATATCAGATCTTTCTTGGGATCATAGTGTGCCAATACATTAGAGGATGATAGTTGTTTCTTTACTTCATTGAAAGCTAGGGCATGTCTATGAGACCATTTCCAAGGTTGACCCCTTTTTAGAAGTTGATGTAATGGTGCCAGGATGGATACCAGGTTGTGTATGAACTTTCCGTAATAATTTACCCAACCTAGAAATGACATAAGCTCCTGGGCAGACGTGGTGGCCAGAGCATCTTTGATTGCTTTCACTTTATATTCCAATGGATGTAATCGATCTTGTTGACCTTGTAGCCAAGTAAGTCACTTGGGGGCCTGGAACAGACATTTTTTCCTTGTTAGATGTATGCCTGCTTTGGAAAAATGCCTTAGGATTATATCCATGTTCTGTAAGTGTTCCTTTTTAGTGTTCCCTGTTATCAAGATATCATACAGGTAAATGGCGACCTGAGGTAGACCTTGCAAATGTTCTCCATCGTACACTGGAAAATTGATGTTTGTTTAAGCCCGCACAAAGGTGGACTGACCCATTGGGCTTCAAAATTAGCATGACTAGTATTGCCCATTCGTAAATTGGACTGGTTTGATGGGCATCCACTTCCTATAAACAAAAGGGGTGACCATGGGCATCCACATGGGCCCAAGCTATGCATGCCTCTTTGTAGGATTCGTGGAACAGTCCCTCTTCAACAACTATACCAGCACCATTCCTCACCTCTTCCTCTGCTACATTGATGACTGTATTGTTGCTGCCTTGTGTTCCTGCACTTTCCAACACCTTCCATTGCACCCTCAAATTCACCTGGGCCATTTCTGACACCTCCCTCCCCTTCCTAGACCTCTCTGTCTCCATCTCCGGTAACTGACTCACCACTGACATCCATTTCAAACCCACTGATTCCCATAATTACCTTGACTATACCTCCTCTCACCCACCCTCCTGTAAAAATACTATCTCATACTCACAATTCTTCCACTTCTGCCGCATCTGCTTCCAGGATGAGGTGTTCTACTCGAGGACTTCCCAGACATCCTCCTATTTTAGGGACTGTAGTTTCGCCTCCTCTGTTATTAATGATGCCCTCAACCGCATCTTGCCCATTTCCTGTGCTTCTGCCCTCAAACCCTCTCCCTCCAACAACAATAAAGATAGAGTCCCCTTAGTCCTCACATACTCCCACACCAACCTCTGAATACAAAGCATCATCCTCCAACATTTCCGCCACCTACAATCAGACTCTACCACCAAAAAGATATTTCCCTCCCTAACCCGTCTGCTTTCTGCAGGGACCATTCACTCCGTGACTCCCTCATCAGGTCTACACTCCCCACCAACCTCTCCACCATACCCAGTACCTTTCCCTGCAACCATAGGAGGTCTACACCTGCCCCTACACCTTCCCTCTCACCTCAGTCCCAGGACCCAAACAAACCTTCCAAACCTGCAGAGATTCACCTGTACTTCATCTAATCTCATCTACTGTATCCATTGCTCCTAATGTAGTCTATATCGGGGAGACCAAACACAGACTTGGGGACCGGTTCGTGAAGCACCTGAGGTCTGCACGCACCAACTAACCTGACTTTCCAGCTATCATCCACTTTAACTCCACCTCCCCCTCTCCTGGTGACATGTCCATCCTTGGCCTCCTCCACTGTCTGAGTGAGGCCAAACATAAACTGGAGGAACAAAATCTGATATTCTGCCTTGGGAGTTTACAGCCCAATGGCCTGAATATTGACTTCACCAGCTTCAAGATCTCTCCTCCCCCAACCTGTCCATCATCCTATTCACCTCTCTGCTCCACCTTTCCCATTGACCAACTACAATAACCCCTGATCTGATAGATCCATCTATCTCCATCCCACTTACCCTAACCCCCAGCCCCACCTCTCTTCCTCTATTTATTTCTGGGCACCCCTCCCCCTCCCCAATCCCAACAAAAGGTTTCGGCCCGAAATGTTGACTTCCTTGCTCCTCAGATGCTGTTTGACCTGCTGTGCTTTTCCAGCTCCACATTTAATGACTCTAGTTTCCAGCATCTGCAGTCCTTACTGTCTCTCCTTCAGGATTTTATATGTTTCAATCAAGTCACCTGTTACTCTTCTAAACTTCAGTGGGACAGCCTGGCCTATCTAATCTTCCTTATAACATAACCTGCCCATTCCATGTATTAGTCTGGTAAAGACCATAAGAAATAGCAACAAGAGTAGACCATTCTGCCCCTCAAGCCTGCTCCGCCATTCAGAAGGATCATGGTTAATTTATCATTCCATACCCATTCTTTAATGCATCTTCTCTGTAAGCATTGATTCCCCCACTGATCAAGAATCTATCTATTTCAGCCTTAAACATGCAAACGGATTCTGCCCCCACAGCTCTCTGCAGCAAGGAGTTCAAAGGGTTACAATACCCTGGAGAAGAAATTCCTCCTAATCTCTGTCTTAAATTGGTGCCCCTTACCCTGAGACTATATCCTCTGATCCTAGTCTCTCCATTAAGGGGTAACATCCTCTCAGCATTTATCCTGTCAAGGTCCTTAAGAATCCCATATGCTTCAATGAGATCTCCTCTCACCCTTTTAAACTCCAATGAGTAGAATCCCAATCTGTGTAGTCTTTGCTCACAAGACCTTCCCTCCATACCAAGGATCATCCCAGTGAGCCTTCTCTGAACTTCCACCAACACATTTACATCCTCTCTTAAATAAGGTGAGCAGTCTATCAATGCCTTGCAAAATTAAAGCACAGCCACCCTACTTATGAATTCAGTTTCCCTATGATAAATATTAACAATCTATCAGCTTTCCTTGTTACTTTCTGTACATAAAAACAAATCTTTTGCAGTTCAGGCACAAGAACATCTACAATCCCCTGCATCTCAGAACTGCAGATTTCTCACCATTAGATAATGATAAATCAGATAATAATTCTTCCTGCAAAATGGACAATTACACATTTTCCCATACTACACGACACTTGCCATATCTTTGCCAACTCAGTATCTTTTTGTAACCTCCTTGTCATCTGGAGTTTATTATTTTATTATTAGTATTTTAGAAGAAGAGAGTTCACGAGAGTTTAGAAGAATGAGGAGTGAATCTCATAGAAACCTATACATTTCAAACAAGACTAGACCAGGTAAATACAGGAAGGATGTTCCCAATGACTGGGAGTCCAGAAGCAATGATCACAATCTTAGGATACAGGGGAGTCCATTTAAGATTGAGATAAGGAGAAATTTCTTCTCAGAGAGAGAGGTGAGCCTATGGAATTCTTTGCCACAGAAAGCAGTTAAGGCCAAAATATTGAATCAAGAAGGAGTTAAATATCATTCTTAGGGCTAAAGAGATCAAAGGGTATCAGGAGAAACAAGAACAGG